GGTAGGAACCTCCTGGTTACACCAGCCCACAGGGAATTGTTGTGTCCGTCGTGCAGGGAGGGGCTGGATGGGGAGGGACTGGGTGGCGAGGGGCTGGGAGGGGTTTGGCTGGGTGTGGAGGGGATGGTCACCCCGTGGTGCCCTTATAAAACTCAACGTTTAACCTACTCACGCCGGCTTGTGCCCGCCCTCACAGTCGGGCATATTTGCGGAATACACCACGCCGCCGTTGACCCTGGCCATTGACCGAGCAACCCAAAGTTCCTACCAGCTCCCTCTGCAGGAATGTGTTTAGTAAAAGCAGTTTTTATTCACGCTATCTTCACTAATATTTATGTTATCAGCGTCCACATTCAACTCCGTTGGAGTAAGTGTATCGCTGTACATGATTGTCAAATTGTATCGCATCGTTTAAATTTCCCACTACACGTTCATATATTGCAATAAAATAATGCTTAATGTTATCTTCAATTATTTTTCATCGTTATGCATTGTTATTTCTCAGATTGTATACATTTCTAACTATATCTAAATATTTATTGACAATACTATACTGTTTTTTGGCAATGGTAAATGACGAATGTTTTTTGTTATATAATAAAATGCCTTTCAATTTCATGCAACAGTTCCACGGGTATTTTTCCTGCATTGTGTTTGTTTCATCGTTACTGTGGATCAGATTTCTTGAGACAGAATTCCCCAAAACTAAGACAACCGGTAGCGCGGCCTCATTGCTCCCTGTCAATGACAACTCCCAAGGTGCCAGGCTCACGCCGTCGGCCCTGCCTGTGTGGTCGTCCTGCCCAGTCACTCCGCACTCAGAATTGTGGCCGGGGTTGCAATGATATATTCTTTAGGTCTTTTCTGACTACTTAAAAAGTATTGGTGCTGGAATTAAATTTGATACAATGTCATGAATTCTGTATTTTAAGTCATCATAAGAATGTTAAAATACATGTAACGTGTCGTATCTTAACTTTAATTCTAACATTCCGCAGGACGTTATTTTCAATGCGACTCAGATTATGAATGTTTCATTTTACGGGGCAACAATAAGTACAATATTTTAAGCAATTTATTGTTTACACTCGAATATAGTTATTTAGTTGTACATGTACGTTCCTGCTTTCAGCTCTTACTGTTAACATTGTGTAACGGGTTCTGGAGACACTTGTAGAGGTAACTTCTTTATTACAATACAACACTCCAACAGTCCTGATACTCTGTTACAGCCTAGGTACACAGCCTAGCTCTCCGGCCTAGATACTCTACTCTGGCTACGCTCCGGAACTCGCCCTCACAAGGTCGTAGAGTCGGGAGTTCCAGAGTCCCACCACTGGCTCTCACAGCATCCCAGGGTCTTCAGATGGCTGGTCGTGGGTCTTGGGTCTTGAGTTACAACTGGGCCCCGATCGTCCAGGGAGCTCTCCTTTTATGCCTGGTCCAACGAGGGGTGGGGCCGTGTGCGCCACCAGACATCCCACAGAGCACACACAGCCCCCCCCCCCCGTTGGCGGCGCCCAGGGGATTAAGCGCCTGGGAACTCAACGCCTGGCGCCCAGAGGCTTAAGCGTCTGGACCCCCTGGGAACCCAGCGCCTGGCGCCCAGAGGCTTAAGCGTCTGGACTCGCCTGGGATCCCAGAGCCCCCAGCAGCCCCTCCCTTCTTATGTCACTACAATTGTATGCAGGACACATTCAATATAATTTAGAACATTTGATTTGTGGCTTTCGTCAATATATTTTTTATAAAGACATTTTGAAATAAAGTTTTTGTCATATCCTTAAAATTCAGATGTGCAACCGTAACAATACAATGGTTTATCTGCGCTGTGAAAGAGACGCTGTGTGCGGACCAAGCTATATTTTCCTCTGAGCATTTCTCTCATGCCACCAATACTTGACCCACAGCAAGATTCCACTCGTGACAGTAACTCGATACAGCTGCACGTGACAGCAGCTTGTTGAGCGAGACTTTTTACTATTTATTTTTTATTTTACCAGGTATCGCCCGCTGAACTTCGTAGCTATTTTTACATAAGCGACCAGGCCACAAATGACAGCTCAACGAAGTGGCTTATCACGTGGACATTTATCGCAGCCAAAAACTCTAAACGCATTTTTATTCTAAATGTGGTGGGAAAAACCAGAGGACCCGGGGGGAAAAATCCACGCGATCACTGGGAGAACATTACAAATCCAAATATACAGCAGCAGGCGTCAGGGTCGAGATCGAACCTTCTATCTCCTGTATACCAGGCGAGGTAGTTAACATCTCGCCAACGGGGTGCCCTCTCTTGCCACTGTCCCTGCTCGCACACCCAAGGGGTTGCTCCTGACACCAGAGGGCAGCACACCAAGGTGATGTATTCTACATACCCATTACACTGTCATCAGTGGAGCATAATTTCATTAAAAAATAACACTGCCTTGAATGAAAAAAATGATAGACTTTTCAGGCAATGGCCCTTCTGAATGAACAAACTCTAATAAGCAACGTTTCGGGCCCATTATACGTTTCTTTTACAAGCAAGGTAGTGTTATGGCCGAATGTGGAGTTTGTTGTCATTTGTGCTTGTGCGCCATTATGAACGGAACATCATCCCCATATAATAAGCATCATTAAAAACAATAGAGGAGTGTTCCATGCGGTACCGTAATATCTGTTATAATAACATGGTAATGTGGAGCATTGATTGGGAATCCACTTTCAGAATCAGAATCTTTATTTCGATTGGAGGAATCCGACTAGCTTATGAAGCAATTTTTCACAGATGTCCAGTATTGGCGGATTTGAATTCTAGTGTGTATATATTTAAAAAATAATAATTTTGTATTGATCAAACCACGCGACAGGTGAGTGGTGCATATCGGGATAGGCGGCTGGGACAGACAACCAACGGGGACGTGCAGGAACGTAGCGTTGTGTATTACGTGGTGCGTCAGATCCCCTTTGCTTCGGGGAAGGAAAGGGTAAAGAGGGGGCGGGAGGGAGGGGAGTCAGTCTCATTTCAAGTTCAGTCAAGTAAACTCAGCGTCTCTGGAGTGGCATTCATGAGGGGGCCCCAGATATGGGACAACTCACCTTCCCTATTCCTCAGTTTAAGACTCAGGTGTTCTAAAGCTACTATGGCGACTAGGGGAGTTGTGCCAGAGGGCGAAAGAGGGGGCCCCATTATTATTCCTGGAGCTAATGATGGTCTTTCTAACCGAAATCTTAGATGCTTGGAAAAGGGTGTGTTGGTGCCTGGTGATACCTTGGGGTTTAAGACCCAGGAGGGAGGATTCAATGCTAGGTAGTATCTCGGTGCCACACATCACGTTGTACAGATCGGTTATTTTATCACCGCATGTCCTGATTATGGGACTGCCCCAGAAGGCGTGGATGTAAGTTTGGATGGTGCCCGGGGGCACTTAGGGCAGTCTGGGGAGAGTGAGTGTCTTTTTTAACAGCAATCTGCCAGATGCACAATTAATTAACACAATGTACATCGTTACCGGAACACCGAAACCGACACCAATCCCCTGGCTTCCCTGTTCTGGCGAATAATCTGCCACCAAATATCCGCAGAGACATCGCGCAAACTGCAAAGGAGTTGACACGTTTTCTTTCCAGAAACAACAACAACAATCACCTGCCTACCCATCAACGAAGGCATCAACAATGTACCTCGCGCTGTCACCATCCTAGAATGTCACCCAGATCTGGAATGACGCTGGTGAACAGTGGCACAACACGTGCGTCCAAAATAAACACATTTGAAACCCAAACATCACACCTCCTGGCTTTGAGATTCCTTCTTGGAGACATTGGTGTAACCATCAACCTCATCAAAACGTCAACAGGCCGATGCGCATTATCTCCTTCATAAAAAAGGGGTCATTATGCCAGTTCTTTCCATACACCTCCGATTAACACAGTTGGCTACATACGGTTTTGATGGAAGCTTGTGTTGCCTCCGAAACGTCGTGATTTAATTTAGTTATTGTAATTGTATTATTTATTATTATTATGTTTTTACCTACGTGACTTTACCGAAAGAACCAATGAGTATGGATCCTTGCAGTCACGAAAACTTCAAATCTAGAATTAAGTTCAACTAACATACATGCAAATGGTTAATTAAAGTAAAGCCACAGTACGATTATGCCCATGCAAAACCAAACTATGGACCACGTAGTAAAAATACACGTCTGAGCTCCTTCAACGCAGGAATAGCAAAACTACACAAACTCTACACTGAAGCCCTCTCATGGCAAGCAGACCTTGACAATTTGGCTCCTGAAAATTACGCCATGAGACAGAATAAATTCAAGCAATTTTGAAGATAATAGGTTACTTTCAGAGTTCGAACAATGCAGATAATGTTCAACAGTGTAACTGTTTTTTAAACTCTGAGCATTCTACAAAATCTTTTTCATGGCCATATAAAAATGATGTCAGGCTCGTGGAGTTTATCCGGGATAATGCCACATCTTTTCATTTCGCAGTCCCGCAATGGGCTGGATAGTGGCACGAACTTGGATTGTGACAATGTGAAGCGAATGTGCTGAGGGAATGGACAAGAGGTTGGGGAACACGATTACTAAAACCAAAACCAACGCCTACAGCAATAATCGCGGATCCGCTGCCATGGTTAAGATAACAGATGAGAATAGATGCAATGCATTGCTATTGTTGCAAACGGATGCAAATTACAGATATTAATGGTTGGTGTAGTATTATGGGTAATCTGGAATCATCCTTAATGTCTTCACTCCTTGAAGCTCACTCGATATAAACTAGCAAATAGCCCTCGTCTCAATTTTTTGACGAACAAAACACACCATGTAGAAAACTGCAAAGTTAGATGTTACTAAGTTAACGGAACATGCAGCCTGCATTCTATGCTTTGAGACGCCAAAGCCGGAGAAGCTTCTATCTGATTCACCAAAAAAATGACTTCATTCTCGCTAAGGCGTGCCTGTACATGACTCATCTAAAGCCTTAAAGTGAGAATGTTCCAGCAAATGCTGGCTTACGCTTATTCGCATTACCTGTGCTATATAATTGCTGCCCTAGTTGTGCGAGCAGACCACTCTCGGACAAGAAGACAGAGCAGTCCTCTACAGCTCGGAGACTTCCTTCAAAGTAAACGATCATGGACATGAACGTGTACTTCCCTCCAATGCACGTGATGGAGAAGAGCGTCTGGCCAGGCTGGCCGGTCTGGAACCTCCAAGACAAAAGCCTCTTCCAGCAGCTGGAGCGAGACATGAGGAGCGAGATCGAGAGGATGGAGCAAATCTTCCGTGGAGTCGATCAGCTCAGCAGCCACTCGTGGGCTCCGGGCATCCCCAAAGTTGCGCTGCAACAGCAGCCGGCCGTGAGTGCCGCGTTCCAGATCGAAGATCAGCGGCAGCAGGGAGACGGGTTTGTCGCGACCCTGGACGTGCAGGGCTTCTCCCCAAAGGACCTGGCTATGAAGGTGTCTGGAGACAAGCTGGTGGTGGCCGGACGTCGTGAGGTCAAGCGCGAAGGCAGCGGCGCCTACAGCCACAGCTACCAGGAGTTCCACGAAGCGATGCAGCTGCCCAAGGACGTGGACCCGCAGAGCGTGAGCTGCTGCCTGACCGACGACGGGAAGCTGAAGATCAAGGCTCAGCGCCGCGCCCTCCCTGCCGTGACTGCTGGGAGGCTGGTGGCCATTGAGTGAGCTGGGAAGTGCTCACCAAAACATTAACATTTGGAATCTAACGTTAAACGCCCTGCAGAAAGTGCTTGCTTCTTAAATGCAAAATTGTAACAATGCTAATTGTTCACATTCACTATGTGAAGTACAATAAAATACATCTAAAATGTTACGAAGTTAATCAACGAAACATGGCTTAATTGTTCAATGAATATACTCTTTGAATCTAATACCAATTTCCAGAAGTCATTGTTTTTCAATTAACTTTGCTTTTCCTGCACATAACGTTAATGTTGTTCTCGCTTTTAATGCCATGCTTTGTTACATTCGTTTCAAATGCTTTTTATAACGACAAACTTGTGATGTTTTTTTGCAAGTTCAATTTAATTGTTACAGTGGAAATAGTCTTGAAAATAGAGTAATTTGATGCTGCAAAATAAAAGATCCCAGTATTCACGGAAGTTTGTGCTTTTTTTTTCTGTGTCCAAGCTAAAAATAAAATCTGCCGTTCAGGGCTGTGAAACTAGCACACATTAACAACCTTCGCTTGGGAAAGGGACGATTTCTGACATCCACTTACCAGCATACACCATTCTTTAGCAAATTCCCACAGATTTGACGAGTTGTTGGCGAGAATGGCCCATTAGTCAGCCCCTGCCAATCACGCTCGATAGAAAACAGCACCTTGTACGGTCTTTAGTTAACATCTTGTGTCAGATATATGGAGAGATGGTGTAGCCGATTGGTTTTCAAACTTTGTTTTGGCGACTGTACACTCCTTGTTGAAATTTGTTTCAACCGAGTTACCCCCCCCCCCTTGCCTGACCCAACATGGTTCTGAGAAATAAATAAATAAACGCATGATTAACATTAATATTTTAATCGATTACCCATTTTGTGAGGTATCCTCACGAGCTAGTAACTGCAAGCGAATAAAAAAAAATCAACGGACACTCTGCATGCATGACGTAACTTGTTCGCACTCGCTGGCTGCTCTAGTAAATCACATTGTTTAGGATCAATGAGTGTAGAAAGGTCTTTATATCGTTATAGGTTACCTTATAGATTTACATGTTATTATAGCTATTTCAATATTGGCAGATTCATACATGATTGTTCACCAATGACTCTCATGTATGATATAATTTCACACGAGTATAAATCACCCCACGTGCCCCCAGAGGTCCGCCGACACCCGGCCGAGAACCACTGGTGTAGATGATGCATGGACAATCTTGTTTGCATGTAGAGCTTTTTTCGCACCGTACGCAGCCAACCGTGCTAATCGCAGATGCGGGGAAGGACAACAAACTAAACACAAACAGCAGTTTATCCTCTTGGCTATGATAAAAACAACATTAAGACTGAATTAGCATTAATTTTGTGGATAATGACGTTAGCATGCCACCAATTAAAACGCAGAGGGAAACATTTCTTTTGGGGAGGGCTTACATGAAACATGCAGTGGTAGAATCAAGATCTGATGAATGCATGTGTCTCAGCAGCAAAAGGAGGCGAGGAAATGTGAGATGCAGCTGCCGTACAGATGGAGGTGGAAGGTTTTTGCAGAGTTGAAGGATATGAGACCTCCGCACAAACGATGACTCCCAAAGTTAAACACACTAAAACTAAACTATTATTTTTATTTTACCACGTAAAACCCACTGAGCTATATAGCTCTTTTTTCGGAAGCGACCTGGCCACAACTGATAGCTCAACGAAGTAGATTATTACGTGGACATTTATAGCAGACACACTCTAAAGACGTGTTTCTAATTGTAGAGGAAAAGACCGGAGGACCCGGAGAACAATCCACACGACCACGGGGAGACACGCAAACTCCAAATATATAGCAGGCGTCAGTCGGGATCGAACCCACTACCTCCTGAATACTCGGCGAGGTAGTGAACATCTCACCACCGCGGTCCCCGCTACGTCACCTTGCCGGTAACACCAGGGAAAAGATGAAGCCTGCTCGTTATGACCATCTTATCCGTGAGTAATGTCAGTAAACGTCTGGTTCATGTCACTGTATGAGGTGCAGTGGGGGAAGCTTTATGCCTGGGCTACTTCATCTTGTCCACAACAGCAAAGATAAAACGTACCTTACCAGTTAGAACCATCTCCATTTGTCAAATACTGTGCCCGTTTTCATTCAACTGTGGATAGCAGGACCATTTTATTCCATTGCTGATGCGATGCACATAAATACTGGTTTTACATTCCATTTAATGAGCTGCAGATGTAAGGGATGTCGAGAGGTGAATAATATTAAATTACACAAATACAGGCAGACCTCGTTTAACACTCAAGATGCGTTCCTGGAGAAGTGAGCGCAAATAGAATCGGCGATAAATGGGGTCATTATACCATTGCATATATGGAGATGCGTTCCTAGCAGCGTTATTTCTTTCATACGAGCAATAAGGAGGGATTATTGGGGTATTGGTAATAGCACTAATAATAATTCATACATGATTATGAAATAATATTATTAAACCTTATTTCATTACTAAAATAATGTATTATAACATCAGTATGATGTAGTGTACTCCTACAAGGCAACGATGGGAGACGAGGTTGGAGGAGCTGCTGCGCTTCCAACACTACACTTCTTACACTGAGACCTCCTTTACCAGTGGCAAAATATAGTAGGTTTTACCCTTTAAACTGGTACAAAACTGACACCTTTATACAAGGCATCATGTTTGCAATAACCACAACACAAGTAGTCAAAATGCAAACAAAAAGATACAACTCTGATGATGATAATGATATGCACTGTCCTTGAAGTTGATTGGTCCACACCCGAGACAGCTTTCTTTAGAGCCTAGTCTCCATTGGTGTTGGACCAGATGACACCAAAAGGCGTACAACTCAAAAACAGTGCACTATCAGAGTATTGCAAAGTTTGTGGGGAATAATAGTAATTTTCTATACTTTTGAGGAATAACCAATTAGGAAGAAACACTTACTACCCAAGAAAAAAAAAACATGTTTTCGTTACACAGTGATATAATGAATGTAAAATAGAGTAATGTGCTCTTCTAATATTTACTTTAAATTACTACACTTTGAAGGGTGATACAAACCGACACTTACATGCTCGCTTACACAGCACAATGACATCATCAGCCTTGTCAGGAAAGACTGAGGCACACAGTGAGATGAGCAAAGCCAACGAATGTCTTACTTTAAACTTTATTAATGCAAACTATAAATTCTGTACAATGTTATTTTTAAAATAGACGTAATGCTAAAGTTGGCTGCGTGATCTGGATGCTATTGTAGTGAACTTGTCACAGAATGCAGTCTGAGACACGAGTCACTGATATTTTCTGTGGATGAGGGAAGCCCCTGGGAGCAGCTGCGTCATTCTGGACGCTTCTGACAGCCCCTGGCATCTGCTCGTCAGCACTGCCAGGGCTATAAAAGCAGCTCCTGTAGCTGCACTGGCAGAACATCGGCGGAGGAGGGAACAGCGCTCACAGCTGAAGCGAGCCCCACTGTGAAGCACGTCAACTAGCAAGCATGGCCCTGAGTGTTTACTTACCTGCGATGCACGTGATGGAGAGGAGCGTCTGGCCAGGCTGGCCGGTCTGGAAGCCCCGCGGTGAAAGTCTCTTACAGCAGCTGCAGCGAGAAATGAGGAGCGAGATCGAGAGGATGGAGAGAATCTTCCGTGGAGTCGATCAGCTCAGCAGCCACACGTGGGCTCCGGGCAGCCTCGGAGACGCACTGCTGCAGCAGCCGGCCGTGAGCAGTGGGTTCCAGATTGAAGATCCACGGGAGCAGGGAGACGGGTTTGTCGCGTCCCTCGACGTGCAGGACTTCTCCCCACAGGACCTGGCCGTGAAGGTGTCTGGAGACAAGCTGGTGGTGGCTGGACGGCGCGAGGTGAAGAGCGGAGAAGTCAGCAGCGGCAGCTACAGCCACAGCTGCCAGGAGTTCCACAGGGAGACGCAGCTGCCCAGGGACGTGGACCTGCAGAGCGTGAGCTGCTGCTTGACCCAAGACGGGAAGCTGAAGGTCAAGGCTCAGCGCCGCGCCCTCCCTGCAGCGGCCGAGAGGGTGGTGGCCATTGAGCAGCCAGCGACATCGACTCCTGGCACGGCCTCTCAGTCCACTGGCTCCACTCACGCGTAGAGTGGCGCCTGGAGCATCCATTCCCGTGTCTGGCTATTTAAACAGTATTCGTGCTGGAATTTAATTTGATACAATGTCATGAATTTAGTATTTCAAGTCTTCATGAGAATGTTTAAAGATGTGTAATGTGTCGTATCTTAACAGTAATTTAACATCCTGCAGGACGTTATTTTCAATGCGACTCATTAGATTAAGAATGTTGCATTTTACGGGGCAACAATAAGTACAATATTGTAAGCAATTTATTATTTACACACGAATATAGTTATTTAGGTGTACATGTACGTTCCTGCTTTGAGGTCTTATTGTTAACATTGTATGCAGTACATATACAATATAATTTAGAACGTTTGATTTGTTATTTTCGTCAGTATATATGAAATAAATAAAAATGAAATAAAGTTTTTGTTACGTAAAACCCAATGTTCTCAGTCCAGTTTGTATACTGAACCTCAGGACGCACAACCGAACATGTTTAATTATTTATCAGAATTTTCCATTATTTTAAAGGAATGGAGAACTGAGTACAGCCGAATGAACATGAGTGTAGTTACGTAATTACTGATGTAAAAATATATTTTAAACTGCGCCAAAATCAATCGAAGCGAACAGAATTGGATCAGAATTAAATCTCCAATGCTTGACATTTAATCAGCCGCAAAGCCGATTCATGGTCAGGATGTTGTGTATGTTTGTGTAATATCTCAATAATGGCGGGAGACGAATTGACGGGGCAGCACTTATTTATTAACACCGGTTGCACAGTAACAGGCACAGCCGAGATAACACCTACGCTACGCGTGCCTAACTCGGCCACGCACTCAGTCTCTCCCATAGGGTACGCGTGCCTAACTCGCCTCGTACTCAGGCTCTCCGGCTACGCTCTCCCCACGGGGAGCTATCAGACCCGCCTTGCCAGGCACGGGTCTCGACCACTGGGTTACACAGCCCGGCCCTTACAAGGACGTCGGGCCGTGAATCCCAAGGCCTCCCCTCTGAGCCTCACAGAGTCCCGGCCCTTACAAGGGCAGCGGGGCTAGGGGTCTCAGGGCCTATCTCTTCCTCCGTCTTCTGTCTTCACTGGTTCACGATTCCCCGAGTGCCCCCGCGCATCGCCTTACATAGCCCTCCGCTCCAGGGGTGCGGGGCCTATGCGGACCGCGATGTGGACACCCGCCTGCGGAGCGTGATGTAGCCACCCACCACGCGCTGTCTCACGATCCTCCCCGCCAGCACGTACCACCACTACATCACTACTACATCACCCCCTCCCACATAGCTCGCAGCCGGCCCGGCTGCAAAAAAAACCCT